AAAAGTTAACAATAAAAATGTGTTTAATTTGGATGAAGTTTAGGTGAACGCTGACCCCTCTTGTTCATAGGTCAGTATTGGTAGCCCTTCCTATGATTCGGTAGCCATGAAGTAGCCCTCAGCCTTGAAATGGTTGGTGACCCCTGATCTAAATAATCTCTTCGATACCATTTAAACAATTACTGGGACTGAGGGATTTCCTGTGTAGAATGAAAACAATACCGGGTGGATGGGGCTTCCTCCACTCGCAGTCTAACATTCTGCTTTCCAAGCTTTAAGGAAAATGGAGGAAAACTCACAGAAAACAGCCTGACAGTTGAACCTAGTGACCCCAGAAAGCTCCACGGGGATTGCATTGACCAGCACCTGCTCTTCACCCACTGATATGTTCAAATTGATCTGAGGAAAATAAGAAAACACAGCATCCACCCCATGAGTCATCTCCTTTTTCCCAGAAAGAGGCTGAGCATAGACGGGAAGCCTGGATTATTGCATCAATTCACCTGTAAGCTGCTGGACTGCTGCAGCTCGGTGTCTGCCAGTGGCCCCGCTGTTACGTTAATCAGGATATTTTCCTGCGTGGATAAACAAGTCAGTGTGAAAACAGAAAATGCTCAAACGCTTCACGGCTACATTTGAACGGAGATGCTAGCACCGTTGCTAACATCAGAAAACACTCCTATTTTGCTCCTACCGTGTTCAGCTGCTTTGTCATCGACTCGGCGACAAAGAGAAGAACAATAAAACTAACAGTGGGACTCGCCATCTCTGGTTTTAGCTCACGTCCATCAAAAACCAGACTCAGGAAAAACCTCTGCGCACATCTAGTCACTGCGCATGCGTAAAGGACGTCGCTATGTTTTTATTTTCTCGCGAGAAGTAAAAACCACAGTTAGCTGTTCCAGTTCCCACTCCAAATCAGTGGTGGCGGTAATGCGCACTTACAGTTGTTTGCCAACCGCCGAATAAACTTTACCAAGAATAGAAAGTAGAAGAAGAAGAAGAAAACGTCAGTATGGCGGTGCTCCTTGAAACGACGCTGGGGGATATCGTAATTGATTTGTTCACAGAGGAAAGACCTAAAAGTAAGACTATGAAACAATTACCCTTAACGAATTACTATCGTATTACGTAGTTTATTACTAAATAAGACATCTGAGAGCTGAATTATAGATTATAGCAGTGTTAGCTTAGATGGCTAGCTAATGTCTGACCGTTTTATTCACGTTTTGTTTACCTGTGGTTTACTCTATCAGTCACTCACCTAAATGTGTGTAGTGCAAATTCATTGTCCTCATGTTAACTTGGTGCATCTGAAATAATGTGCTTTCTTTCAGCCTCACTAAACTTCCTGAAATTATGCAAGATAAAATACTACAACTACTGTCTCATCCACAATGTGCAGGTAAAATTAAACTGTCTTCCTATTATTATCATTAATGTTGTAACTTTCTAAGCTAGCAACCTACTTCTCTGTATTTTATACTCTGCATTGTTAGTTAGACTCCATAGGAGGGCGCCAATAGAAAAAAACAAAGATGTCATCCAGAGCAACCGTGGTTGAATATGTTTTTCTTTTGTCAAATATTATCTGGTAGGCATATTTTTCAACTACCGGTACTTTAAGTGCTAAATCTTTTTTTGTTTAACAAACAGAGCTCTTTAAATGATAAAAAATTATATCTCATTTGTTGGAATTGGGCAAGTATTGGCAGATTTATGGCTGATAATAAATCAAGATAATTACAATTATGGACAATAGAAAATGAATTAGAAATAACTGAAAATTGTTTACAAATGAAAGTGTTAAAGATATGCTCTGTGTATGCACCTTGAAGCTCTACCTCTGGTTCTTTTCCTTGAAAAGAGATCACTCGTGGCAAAGAGATCAAATCTTTGCCACATACAGAATGAAGATCATAACTGTATAGCCAGACAGGGAAACTGTCCTAATTAGATTAAAACATCAGTTTTGACACTCAACAGGCAGAAAATACCAAGGTGTAATAAACTCACATCATCAATGATAATTATTCTAATAAAAGGACACATTAAAAAGAATTTTAAAAGGATGATAACTTTTTTTTATTGAAATAGATATCAAAATGAATCTTTGAAAGTATTTAGGTGGATAATAGACAATAAAAATTCCAGTCTCACAAATGCAATGACACAGAGGGTATGATTCATTTCTAATGATGCTTTACTACTGGAAAGGACTAGAAGATTATGAGGGCCAAATGGATTTGTTGTTTTTATCCAGTTTAACAGAGTGTCTGGACTTTCCATCACAGCAGCATTAACCTGAAAGAATCTTGGATTAACACCACCCTGCCTTGCCTTTGCTAGCCTGTCTTTTCATTGTCCATCATGTCTCTGGAATTTCTGAATATAATTAGTAGTTTGCTTACACTTTCTTAAAATGAAAACTCTACTGAAATAGAAGACAAAAAATAATGAAGTACACCAATATCTATCTGACTTTTATTTTCCTATTTATTTGTGTTTTGCATATTAACTTATTTTACTGACATATTAATGAAAAAGAAACATATTTTTGTAATAATTTGTTTAATTTAGGGCATAGAAGCCGACCGGAAACAGAATTTATATTTCCAGCTATTTAAAAAGCCATAAATTAACAATTACTGAAAATCTGAAATAAAAAGCTCAATTAAGTTCAATATTCAGATAAATATTTTTACCATTTTCACTCTGTCTTGGGCAGTTTAATGATTCCAGACCAAAAAATGTCTGATTTCCGAGAACGTTTAAACCTACCTTACATATACAGTCGGTGGTAAATGATCAGTACGTCATAACCTTTCATCGAGTTAAAACAAAAGTCTCTTACATCTTGAGCAGAAAAATAACCCCTGAAAAAGTGATGATGTCATTGAGGCAACTCGCTGGCTCGCGAGTCTTAATTGTTTTTCCAAGTGCCTATATCTAGCAGATGAACCACAGTAAACACAGATTACACAGTTTTATTATAAAACTACAGTAGATATATATACATAGATATTGATAAACAGAAAGATGAGAAAATACAACCATGTGTCCAGTGCTGCACAACAGTATAGAAGTATTTCAATACATAAATGAAAAAGTATCATTATCAGCTTTGTCTAAAACATTTGGAGCATGTTCTAACATAAAGAAAATATTAATATAAGTTTAATGACCAGAACTGTGGGGGAAATAGAAAAAAACAAAGATGAAACCCAGAGCAATTGTTGTTGAATATTTTTCCCTCTGTCCAATATTATCTAGCAGACGAAGCACACTAAAACAAACATAACATTTATGTTATGTTTGTTTACAATTGTATCTGAAAGCAGACTACTCTGCCTGGTAAAAAAACTACTTTATATGTCAAATATTAACTTTAAATCATAAACCGTCACATTTCAAAGTTCTGATTCCTTTTCAATGCGAATTTATAAAAAAAAAAAAGATCTGCACAGATTAAATTATAAAAACACAGAAGATATCTATACATAGATATTCGTCAACACAAAGATGAGAAAATATGAGAGTGTGTCCAGTACTGCACAACAGTTTAGAAATATATCAATACATAAATTAAAAAGTATCGTTATCATTTCTGTCTAAAACCTTTGGAGCATGTTCTAAGTTAAAGAAAATATGAATAAGAGTTTAAGATCAGAACCCTGGAGGGGAAACTGCAATATTTTTATCAAGACGAGCTACATTAAATGCTGATAATATGATGAGAAATCATCTGAAAAAAACGGGATTTATATCTAGAAAAGCCAAACTAGAGCTGTTATATCAGATAAAAGCTGATTTCCGATCATTGAAGGTATAGAGCTGTAACTCAGCTGGAAACACTTTCCTTATCCCGTTGATCCTTTCAGGAAAACCAGAGAAGCTGCAACCAAGTTATCTGCCTTCCTTTTCTCGTGTTCTACCTGATTGGTAGATTTATTGTATGAATTGTTGGAAGTTCTGCTGTATGGTCAGTTTTCCCGCTAAAGGAAAAACTCTGTCCTCTTCTCAGAGGGATTTCATTGTCCAGACTGGAGATCCTACTGGGACAGGCCGCGGAGGGGAATCTATTTACTGGTCAGGCATCCAAACCATTGCAGGTGTGTAAGGGAACCAGTTTGAGCGCTTTGTAAAACCTTCGTATGCTCTATATACAGCAAACTTTATGGTGATCAGGCACGATTTTTCGACTCGGAGAAGACGCCACGCATCAAACACAGGAAGAAGGGGACGGTTTCCATGGTGAACAATGGAAATGATCAGCATGGCTCTCAGGTGAAGGGACCTTTTAGGCATCGTTGGTTTGTAATATTAAAAGCATAGCTATTTTTATTTTTGTTAATGTCCCATATTAACTGATGAAATTCTTCCATCCATAGTTCCTCATCACCACCGGGGAGAACCTGGATTACCTGGATGGAGTCCACACCGTGTTCGGAGAAGTTACAGAAGGTTTGGACATCCTGGCTAAAATCAACGAGACCTTTGTTGACAAGGACTTTGTCCCATATCAGGACATCAGGTGAGTCAGAGCAGAACGTTCAGGTGTTCCAACCATAAAGGGCTACATCTGATCCCAGCCCAACATCCAGAACCTTTTATTATAGGAAACTCATGAGCTTCAGTCTGCTTTATGTGATTGTGTTCAGCAACACAAAATAGTTCCATAATGTTTAAAGAAAAAAAAAAATCATTTAATTTTAGAAATTTTTTTACTTTCTCACTTTGATAAATTAGGTAAAAATGCTCCTTTTTGAGGACAGCAGATTAAAGAAACATTTGGAGCATGCAAGTCAGTTTTCCACAGACGTCTTAGAAGAGGCAGCATTAGCGATAAAATCCAGATGAACACCTAAACCAAAGTATAAAAGACAGAAAACATTATACCATGTGAAACATGGTGGTGGCAGCATGATGCTGTGTGGGTGATTTCCTCCAGAGATGGGAGCGTTTATTAGAGTTGATGTAGAGCCAGACGGTGGACAGACTAAAAATTGGTTCAGTTATTGGTTCAGTTTTTTTAAGGCGGCCTAGAGCTGCTTCGCCATGTTTGGTTCTGTCTGCTTGAGCTGGAAGGCGCTCACCGGGTCATCAGAAACCGTCTCTGCAGAGGCTGGTTCTAGGAAAAGGAGCGCTGTCCTGGATGGAGGGACGGTCAGTGCAGCAGTTTGGCCCCGTCTGGTTCTGGTTCTGGAAGACGAGCAGGAGCTCTTGCTGAAGGCTGAACTAGGGCTGGGCGATAATTCAATAACGATATATATCGATCGATAGACATGCGGCGCAATAGAAAAAAAGAGGCTCGATAAAAGTTCGATAAAAAAACGCAGTTTCCCTTCCTTCTCATTGTAGCCTAGCATGTAGGTTTATGCTAGTCACTGCTTCCTCCCAACCAATCACAATCACGGACCCAGGCATGCCGTCACAAAGCGCCGCCCTCTCAAACCACAACACAGAGCACATGAAGATGCAGCAAGGAGAGGCGGAGGAAATTATTCCAAAGAAAGGTTTTTGTAGTTCGGCAGTTTGGCAGTATTTCGGTCATGGCAAGTCGGACAAAAAACAAACCACAGTCATCTGGAAAATGTGTCAGGAACCAGTGAAAACCAGTCTGATAACACAACCAACTTTTTTTTTTTTTTTTATCATCTCAGCCGCTCACACCCGCAGGAGTACGAGCTGTGTAGGCCCCGACGCGGCTCTCCTCCAAGGAATTTCGGGAAAATATATATATTAAGTTCTGGGCAGTTTCCCACGTAGTTCTAACAATTGAGATAAAAATGCTGAGGGGCCAGAAACATCAAAGTAATAACTCAGGTTAAAGCAGGAAACGGGGGCGGCGGCGGCGGTGGGGGGGCATTTATTTATTTGTTATATTTATTTTGGTCACTTTAGTTTATTCTTTGTCAGTATTTAATAACATAACTCAGGTCTCTTAAGTTATTTTTCTTTAAAACAATTCTGTTATGGTTAAAAAAGTTGGTTAAATAAAGATTTAATTCGAAGTCTGTGTTTGTGTTCTTTATGAAAATTAAATCATTTAGCAATATCATAAAATGTCCAGGCAGAGCTGCACATAAAATATGGTTTCAAATCTTTTCAATAATTATCGATATCGATCAATATGCATTTTTTTTATCGATAAGCTTTTTTTCTATATCGCCCAGCCCTAGGCTGAACTTCCTTAAAGGGGTGATAGAATGATTCTATAGGGTATTTAATTGCTGGTCCTTAAGGTCTCTAAATAGGGTGTGTAACATTGGTTGGGCTGAAAATGGCATATTTGCTGTTCTATGAGCCCTAATGCAGCCTGGTTAAAAGCCCTAGAATGAGATGATATGGTAGGGTGACCAGATGTCCTCTTTTTCCCGGACATGTGCTACAAAAAAAAAGGTCCGGGGTGGATTTCAAAATCGTCCAGGATTTTGGTCGACTACAGTGCTGCATGTTGTCGAAAAACACTGGCTGGTCTGACCGAACCTGACCCGGTGGCGGTAGCCTGGACACCGACGGCCCCGTGCTTTTCCCCCCACCAGCAGTCCACTCTACACTATGTGTATTTCCCGTTTGGTACCTTACCGGCTTGTTTTGTTTATATGACCGCCATTGTGGAAAACGACTCGTGAAGTTGGACCAGCTAGAAGAGCGTGGTGAACGAGAACACTGGGACCCTTTTTCCACCTGGATCTCGCTCTTTTTCACCCTCATGTCCCTCAGTAGTCGCACAAACTTGCCCCCACTTCTTCACCACCTTGGCCGTATCTAGACCCACAGCTAGTTGCTGATTGTCCTTCTTGCGTGGTGGTGTGGAATAACATAGCGCAGACCAGGCTTCAATATTGGACATAATTTAGAAAAATATCTGCATCATACCTGCGACAAACTAACTGCGACACACTGCTGCAGGAGGATAACCAACCCTTTAGTTTCCACAGGAAGAACCATCTCTGGGGTTTAGAGAAAAGATGGATCCAGTTTCATCATTATTTTAATGAAAATCCTGTTTTACTGCAGGATCAACCACACAGTGATCCTGGACGATCCTTTCGATGACCCTCCTGATCTGCCAGTTCCTGATCGATCGCCTGAGCCCACCAAAGAGCAGCTAGATGTGAGACCAGCTGTTCATTGCAGCCATTGAGGGACTCTCAGCTGCATCTAAATGATATTAAATGCCGTGCATTGAGGCATCCAGCAGTTTTTTTTCCTTCCATCTGCAGAGCGGCCGTATAGGAGCCGATGAAGTGATAGATGATACGGATGGGAAAGCGGCCGAGGAGCTGGAGGAGAGGCTGAAGGAGAAAGAAGCAAAGACTCAGGCTATCCTGCTAGAGATGGTGAGCCACAGATCTGCTCCACTGCTGAGCTCTGAAGGTCCCACCTGACGGTGCCCTGACCATCCCTACAGGTGGGGGACCTTCCTGATGCAGATGTGAAGCCTCCTGAGAACGTCCTGTTTGTGTGCAAGCTGAATCCAGTCACCACAGATGAGGACCTGGAAATCATCTTTTCTCGCTTCGGCTCCATTAAAAGGTCAGTCGGCCCACTTTAGCTTTATCCCAATCCTTATGATCTTTGCCAGTTTTTCTCTTCTCTTTGGATATTTGATAGACATTATTTTGTTCTTCTGCACAGCTGTGAGATCATCAGAGACTGGAAGACTGGAGATTCCCTCTGCTACGCTTTCATCGAGTTTGAAAAGGTGAGCAGCTTTGTCTCTTTTCACCAAACACTTTTCTTTTACTCTGACTTTCAGGATGACAGCAGAAAATCCAAAACATATACTATTAATACCAATTTCACACAGACCAATATCTTCTTTTTGACTCACACCACCCACTGGAACACAAACTTTCAGTTATCAGAACCTTACAACAGCGGGCCGAGCACGTTCCTACTAAAACAGAAGGGAAGCACAAAGAACAGAAACACTGTAAACCTGTGGATACCCAAACTGGCTGTTTTTCAAATCAGCAAGGAAATATCGGTGAGAAGAATAAACGCAAATACGTCAACATCCCTTATGTTGCTGGAGTCTCTGGAAAATTTCAAGAGGATTTTCTCCAAATACAAAATCCCAGAACATTTCAAACCAAACCAAACCCTTAGACAGAGGCTAGCGCATGCTAAGGACAAAACCCCCAGACCAAGTATGAGCGGAGTGGTGTCTGCAGTTTACTGCAGTGAAGAATGCTCTGATCTTTATATTGGAGAAACCAAACAACCTCTCCACAGACGCACGACCCAGCACAGAAGAGCGGCCTCGTCTGGACAAGACTCTGCGGTACATCTACACCTTTTGGACAAAGGACATTATTTTGAGGACCGGAATGATCACATTTTGGATAAAGAAAATAGTTGGTTTGAGAGGGGCGTGAAGGAAGCCATCTATGTCAAGAAAGAAAAGCCAACCTTAAACAGAGGTGGTGGACTCAGATTTCAGCTTTCAAAAACCTACAATGCAGCAATTGAGTTAATTCCTTCCTGCTATCATCGCAGCTCCAACCCCTTTTAAGGAGAACAGAAGACTCGTCTATTCAGCCAGGCCAACAATTCCCTTTATTGACCACCCTTTGAGAGACATAGACAGGTATGGGGCATTGCAGGCTAACAAAAGAAGCCAAACGACCCCCATTCCAAAGAGGTGGACCCGTTCGTCTGTTTTAATTTGCATGTTTCAAAACAAAAACAAGGTTTTGTTGGGTTACTGTATAGAACCTCGAACTCAACGCTATTTTGAATTGAAAAAGCTTCCTGGTTGGGAAGCAAAACGTCTTCAAACTTGGAAACAAAGTCCAGTGCTTTGTTTTTAATTTTCTTTTTTTCAAATGACTATGGGATGGATGACTGGAAATCTTCACCAGAACATTTTCCCTAATTGGGGAGGTTCATAGTTACCAAGCATGTGTGGTCAGTTGTTCCCACTAGGATGTATCTCGCAACCTCTGAAACTGGCAGTTCTGCTCCAAACCAGAAGGTGGCAGCAGTGATGCCATCATGTAGAACATCCACCTCTGACATCTTTAAAGTTATTTTTTATTTTTTACAGAAACCAACAAAAAAAAAAAGCATTTAATGATTCACAACAATATACAACAAATGGAGAATTAATACAGAATATATGATCTTTAAGGAATTAGTTTTTATGTTTTATGGGGTTGAGTTTGTCTTTGCTTCAATGTAATTATGTTCAACCCATTTATGGCTCTACATAAGAGCCATAAATGATTATAAACAGCACTGATTATTTGACATGGGCGTAGCTTTATTCGGAAGGACCTTATTTAAATCTGGTCTCTCTTTGGTGATTTAATCGCAAAAGATCTATGTTTTTGCTTTGTTCATTTTCCTGTTGGTTCATTGTTATCAGTTTAGCTTAACCTAGAACTGGGTTTAGTCTTAGATTTAACCCCTCAGTTCACATTGGTTTTCTTGAATCCCCACTGTTACCTAGTCTGGTGATCATAGCTGAATTGCTGGAGAGATACAGCCTTATCAATATCACAGTCATGCTGCACAACTCCTCTTCCAAAGGGAAATCAGCTAAAAGCCTATTTTTGTTTTCAGTTGTGGTCGGTAAGGTTTACAGATGAGGTCAGACGGGAGTCTTTCATACCCCCAGGTTCCACATACCCCCCCCCCCGCTCACGAACATCACGCAGAGTAATTTTCTCTGTCATGTTACTCAATGAGAGCTGTTCCACCTCTGCTACTCCTCTGCACGTCACCGTCCACGTACGTCTTCTTCATCCGCCACCGTCAAAATACAGAGCCGAGCTATTTTAGCTCCGCTCCAGCCAGGTCAAAATACACAATTGCTATCGCACCAAACAGGAAAAAGAACAGCGAGAAGATCCGGTTTTGTCAAATTAAAATATACCGTAAATCCTCTAATATTGGCCTGTATTCCATTAGCAGTCGGGTCTCTGATAATGGCTTGTCTGGCTGTCGGCGGAGGTAAATAACGGCTGGACTCTTATAAAGGCCGGGGCTATAATTAGAACCAATAATGTTTCTGGGCAGTCCTCAACCTGTGATAGTAACATACAAGTACCACGGGGGGGGCATGTTTTCTAACGAATCCAAGCCATTAGCATGGGAAGTCCCATCCTTAGCGCAGACAGTGCCGCAGACAGGAGGGCGGCTTGTTTTGTTTTTTTGACCGAAATTGCTGAAAACAACTCATGAAGATAGTCCAGCTAGAAGAACGAGGTGTCACTGTTGTCGGACTAAACTCGCCCCCACTTCCTCATCGCCTCGGCCGTATCTAGACCCACAGTGTATAGCGCAGACAACGCCTCAATATTAAGCATAAATCAACACGTCATCTCAAGTTCACCAGATCATCCAGTCAGATTGATTCAAAGTTTTCAATCTAAGGAAAAGCAGTTGATTGCATTGAGTCATTGACTCAAATACAATCCCTCACACTAAGCATGCTTGTAGCGACAGTGGAGAGGAAAAACTCCCTTTTAACAGGAAGAAACCTCCCCAGTGTGAGCGGCCATCTGCTGAGGCCGACTGGGGTTCAAGGAGACAGAAGCAGAGACACAAAAAGCAGCTCATTGACGCCAATTACCCCACGTACCGCCACTAGCCGTCGTCTTCACGTATGGATGACGAGCTGTCAGTCAAAGGCTTCCTGACACTACTTCCCTTGTGATCGTATTTGTAAGGCCCAATCAGGAGGAGGCTTAACGCTGGTTTATACTCAGAAACCAGGTCATCTGCGTGTGTGTCGCAGTTAACGCAGATATGCCCCGCCCCTTCCACAGACACTCTGGTGCACTTTTCCAAAATTGTAGTTGACCGCAGACAGTGTCGCAGACAGGAGGCCTCTGATTGGTAAAATCTAGATCCGCTCTACACTATGCGTATTACCGGCTTGTTTTATTTGTATGACAGCCATTGTGTAAAAGCTGAGCAGGTAGAAGAGCGAGGTGCGTGAGAATGCTGGGACCCTTTTTCCACCTACATCCCTGCTCTTCCCCCCTCCCCCCCCATGTCCTCATGTCTCCACCTAACTTGTCAAAACACATTTTGCTTCGCTCAAGGAGAAAATCAGTCTGAGGGCAGAGACGCTTTGAAGAGTGCAGCCATCCTCGAGCGTGGCCACTGGATAAAAAATCGTGTGCGCGTGCAGAGAGCAAATTTCTCCTCTCGATGCCGCAGTTTCTTGCGCATGTGTGATTTTGTTGTGCGTTGGTAGATAAAAAGTAGGTTAACATACATGCGAGTGTTTATTTTGCTTTTGGGCAGTTTGAAATAAATGTGACGTCATGTAATACTCTCATTATGCAGCTAGTGTGAATATTTTAACTGTTTAAAAAGCTGACAGACATTATGTCTACTGTATTTTTACCTTTACACATAATTTTACTCATACTAAATCCTTAAAAATAATAGTAAAAGGTATTGATCTGCTGGTTTATTTCGCCCCCCGCCTGTTCGTCATCAGCATCGCCAGGTAGTCCTTTTAGTTTCTCCCATGTGACTCTTATTGTCTTGAGGAAATGCAAGCCGATAACATAGTTATTTCCATTCAGCTGCTCCTCCGGGGTTTTTTTTTATAAGACAAACATATCAGGTGGAAAAACCCTTCAGGATGTAAAGTCTGGAAATCAGTCATAAAGCCAAGTTTGTTCGTTTTTATGACACGTTGATTACAATCCCAGGAGATTGCTTGAGTCATTACGACAGGGAGGTGATAGTGAAGTAAATAAACGATGCCACACAGACAAACATACCCTGTATGTTTCAGACCTGCTGCACCACATGGAAGAAAGAACACGGAAAGTTGATTTAACCTGTATAAAATCCCTTATGTGAGAAAAAGAGAAAATAACATTTACATGGTTGTTGTTTTTAATTGTGACCCCCGACTGGACCTTTGGGTCAGGGAGTAAACTGTGCTGCAGGGATTTCACCTTCTGTCTGAATTCATCCCAACAATAAAGGGCCTGAAACAGCTGAGTGCAATGCTTATAACAGCCAGCAGAGGGTGCTGTTGTTGGATCAATATTGACTTTGACATTTAGCCGGTGGGATCAGTTGATGGTTTGTTGTATTAGTCGGTTCTTGT